CTTTCCAGATCCTCAGCAGCCAATTGTGGGAAACTCTGAATATCCATGCTCAGGTAGATGAGTTAACAGTGTAGATAATCCAAAATGGAATGAGTTTTGTGGCATTATTTAAATGAACAGCAGATATTAGAAGAGTATGTAGTATGCCCCAGAAATTCATAACACTTCAAAGAAAATAAAGCCCTTTTGTGATGAAACCACTTTGAAAGACCTGTGAATGTAAGGGCAAGAAAAGTCCTCCAGTGGGCTCATCCTCACCAGAACTTTTACAAGGGAGATGGGAAAATCAATGACAAACCAACTCTCTCCATTCTCTGAGTTGGCTATGATTTTTAGTTCTCCCCTCCCTGAGAAGGCAGGCAAGGGTTGAGCCAACGAATTAAGTTATGAGGAACTTGTATGAAAGATCTACCAGAAGTATACCCAAATTGATAATATCCAGAAATTGCTTTCAATATCAATTGAGACTTGAGGCATTTATTTTAAATATAGTCATTTGTTTACATATACATTCACTTTATATTATTACATTTTAACATTTATCAAAAACTAAAGAGTCTTTAAGAATTTTTGAAAGTCCTGTACTGAGGCTTTGGCAACCTCTTCACTAAATATTTCATCAGGAATAGATACTAATTTGTCCAAAGAGATGTAGTTAGGTTTTGCTGGATCATACTGTGCTCTTCCTAAGTAGGTAAGAAACAAATGTCTTTCTTTGACTTTAAACAACTTTGTATTAAATACCTAGAAAAGAAAAAGAAAAATTTTTTAAAGACATTGTGCACTGAAAGATGAAATATTAAAAAAGTGTATTTCGTTAAAAATTTTAATAGGTTAACAAATTTATAAAGTATTGACCACATGCTGCATAAGATGATAAGTGCCATAGGGTTTAATTCCTATAGCTCCTGCTAAGAAATTATCATTAAAAAGGGACACAAAAGTAATAGAACAATTATAAAATAATTAAGGGCTATACTGTTGACAAAGAACATTGACTACTCCTGAGATACAGGGAGATCTTTTTAGAAAAGCAAATCCTCAGACCTACTTAGTAAGAAATTTGGAGAGTGGGGCCCAGAAACCTGTTTCACCAAGCCCTTCAGACAATTCTGATGCCTGCCAAGTTTGAGAACCACTGTTAGAGATCAAGGTTTATGGCATCAAAAAATCTATAAGATTTCATAATCTGAAGCTTCCTACTGTTATTTTTTAATTCCTGCTGTTTTTAAAACCA